GGGGTGCCGGCTGACCCGGCCACGCCGCGGTGCCGTGGGCCCCTCGCCCTGTGCTCTCCGCTTTCCTGACCAGCGCCTCTTCTCCCGCTCCGGTCTGGGCGCACGAGGCGTCCCCTTGACTAAACACGCCTGGCTGGCCCCTGCCTCGGCTGCGGCCAAGCTCGGGGCCGTCCTGTGGCCCGGAAGTTTCCTGAGCACTTTTCACGGAAACGCGCATCATCGCGGCGGCCGGCGCTCCCCAGGCCGCGGCTCCTGGCGCCCCGCGGTGCCCGCGACAAGCCCCCCGTGGCTGCGTGGCGGGGTGCAGAACCCCCTCGCGGGTTCTGGCGCCAGGCGCCGCTCCCGTCCGTCTGGCCACCAGCGACGGCCTGGGACCGCTGCGCCTCGAGTTTTGGGCTCCTTTTGATGGTTTCGTTAAGGGGAAGGACGTCCTAAAGGAACTCTGCAGAGTCTTGGGGACCCCCCCACTCCGCTTTCTGGACTCCGCCCCTGCTCCAGGGACTGGAAACTACAACTGCCAGGAGCACCCGGGGGACTGCAGGACCCAGGGCGGAGCCAGCAGGGCTTCTGGGACTCTGGGGGGTGAACCGGCGGTCGCCCCTCGCTCTCGCGGGGAAACGGCTCCGGACGGCGCCGGGCGACCCGCGTGCTCGGTCAGCCGAGCCCTGAGGTTGCCCGGTGACTGTGTCCGGCCCTCCCAGGGCTGTTTCCTGCTCCTTTCCCCTTTTGTAAATCAACCCGCTGTTGACCCTCGTGTGTCCCTGCGGCGTGGCCGAGTCGTGCGCGCGGTGCGGCTGCGGCAGGTGCCCGTCCACTCTGGGCTGCCCTGTGCCAGCTCCTTGGCATGGCTGCGGGGCTGATTCCCCAGAACAGCGGCCCCGGCCCTGGCGGGCACGGGGAGTCTCACCGCAGCCGCTTCCAACCCCCGCGGGGACCAGCACACAGACCCCAGGCAGTGGCTCGGTGGGCCGCCTGCTCTGCTCCCCTGTCCGTCCCTGGGGCGCCCTCTCACCCCGCCTCCGGCCTGCACCCCAGCCCTGCGTGCGTGAATAAACACATCTTTTGAACAAATCTAAAAAAAAATAATAAACCAAAATCAGCCGTCGTGTCTAAAACGCCAGCTGCACGCAGTGGCTGCTTCCCTCTGGCAGT